GGGCTAACGTAACATCGATTCTCCTATCCACCCCGTCATATTCCACCCAAAGTTGCATCGATTGACCGCTGCTAAGAGTTAAGCTGTCAAATGAATTCTTGTTATTAGCTTGGTAACTTGCTGGCCTTGATACCTTGGACCTCACAGAGTTAATATCAATACCAACATGATTGGCATTAATATCTCCCAAATCTGAGTTCTGAAAAGTATCAAGCTCCACAGCGAAAACGTGATTTGTCTGATTTCCATCGGTGTTTCTATCAAAGAGGCCGAGACTTTCCATACTATAGAACTTCGACATAGGCCCTTCTGTACGGTTTCTTGTTGGTGCAATCACAAGAGCCATTCCCGGACCAATCACGCCTGGGACATCGGGTACTATAGCAAACACAAATTGGGTGGAAAAGGAGAAAGCTGAACTATTAGATGTGCTCTTGAAGTTGATGGGATTAGGATAGAAGGCATGCCCACTTTGTGATTTGGTGTTGTTAGTTATCCGTAGGAGGCCATTGTTGGTGACTGTGGCTGATCCATCCAGGCTTAGATTTGATGACTGAAATCCCTGATAGATGAACCCATCATCAGAAGCTGCTGCGCTAGGTGCCGTGTGAACCAGAAAACAAGCTAAGATTGCTGTTACTAGTTTCAATGACATGGCTGGATCATGCTACAATGACGAGTCATTAGCTGACTTGTTATTGTATTTCATTACTTTGAATACAAACTAATACAACCGGCTAATAGTCAGTGGTTCCCACGACATCAATTGATACCTTGAACGAGTTTTCTTTCGCCGTTCATTCGGATTTCCAATGGTTCAAAATGTTAAGTGGGAACACAAAAATTAATGACTAAAGCACGTTATTTGCGTAAAGTAAGCTTACATCATTTGAATAGCTTGTTTGTACTTTTATTCAGCATCAACTAAGACATTAATGATCAATTTAATTGTGAAAAAGGATGACTACTGTTTAAACAATGACGTTAGTGTTACAAGGTGCCAAAGAAAATTACAACCACGATGGCATTATTGTAACTAGTATAAGAGAACGTGCGTAATTAATTATAATTAGAGTCTATGGCAAAGGTACTGTTGAGAAAAAAACCTAAATTGCCAAATTACTAAATCACATTGGTGATCCATTCAATCTATCTTTATTTTTGGTCAATGTTTTCCCCTTTCTTTTATTTCTCCACAATTATTTATTCCACGTAAAATCAATTTACATAAATTTTGTTTTCTAATTCATGTTTATTTCTAAATTATCCACCCAAAGTTTTTTTCTCGTTCTTCACTAATTCTATAATCTATTTTTAAACTCTACTGAAATTTACTTTAGCAAGTTTATTTTTCCTAGATGAAATTTAAAGGCCAATGTTACATGAATAACCACAAAAAGAATAGAAAAGGACTTTGGAACATAATATAATCATTAAGGGGTCACTTATTCTATTGATATTAATTTAGAATTACACATATGTCAACAAAATCCATCTTTGGACATATCTTTTTGAATCAGTAACATCACGGAAAAGAAAAACAAAAATTATGACTTTGAGGGATTAATTTGAACTAAATTTAACATGTCTATGTACGCTCTTTGTATAAACTATCTTATGTATTTGAATATTGTTTAGAGTAATATCATGTAACGGGACATTGAATCTATAAAAAGTTAAAAAGGCTGATATACATGAAGTTAGTTAAGATTTTTAAGACTGTGGCCTAGCAAATGTTTGGTCATTAAATTTTAAAGGAAAAAGTTTTCAAGTAAACCTATAATCTTTCCAAATCAATCTCTATTGTATAAGGAATTCTATTTCTAAAACAAAATTTGAAGGCTGGTAGCAATAAAAAGCCCCAGTAATACTTAGGATTACATTTATATCTAATAAGGGAATTTTAGGAAAGAAAAACTAAATAACAAACTTACCAAATCACAATGGTGCTTTTAATATAGTATGGATAGATTATGTTGGTCTTCCACGTGATGAGGGACACATGTTCCAGTTCTCCTTTTTTTCACTTTGGAATATTAAATTATTTGTTTTGTGGCTTACAAATGTAAGGCTAGAATAAAAAGTTTGCTGTCTGGGATTGTAGTCAACATTTTACGCAGTTTAGTTGACAGAGGGCTGATTTTACTACCAAATCTGTTAAGAGATATGTATAAAAGAAAAGGTGATATGTACATCTCTTCGTTTGCAAATAATTCTTGATGTGAAAACATAAAGCCAGGGGCTAATCTTTGAATAGGAAAGAGAGTAGTTCCGCACGATTTCAAATGAATTGATTTATTCGAAAAGGGTCTTGTTCTTTGGACGATTTGTATGTATGTGTGTATATATGCATATGTATATATATATATATATGTATATGTATATGTGCACAGCACGTACACACACATATATATATATATACATTCGTATGCATTTTTCTTATGTACATGGGTACATACATACACATATAAACACACACACACATGCACGTATGTGAGCACTAAATATATAGTTAATTATTTTTTCTCCTCTAAATGGCATGCCTAATAGTATTGATACATTGACACATTCTGAAAACAGGATTTCACTCAATTGTCTATTGGCACGCTCATGTATTTTTGGACTCTGTGGAAAGAGAAGATCTTGAATATCTTGAATGTATGGAGAATCAAAATTTCAGTAAATACATGGGGTTTGGTGAGTTTTGTTTGAAAAAAAAATAATAGTATTGATACATCAAATCTTAACCTTGTCCAAGATTGGACTGTTCATTTAGGCCAGTTTGATAACTCTACTTAATGCTGACAATTTTTTCATTTAGCATATTTGATAATTTAATTGCCTTATCATTTAATAAATTAAGCACTACTTAATTTGTGTATAAAATTTTAAGTGGACATTTTTTACTGAATTTTCTCACTACATACACTATGTCTCTCACATTCTCACACATGTTCTTACACCAAAAAAAAATGGCATTTGCTCTTTGTCTATTTGGCGCACACACACTCTTACACATAAATACATGCACTTAAATCCCATGTTTCAATTGATTCATTATTCTCTCTCTTTCACACATACACACGCGCACATGCATGTTTTCCTTTCTCTCTGAGTATACTTTTTTTTTTTTTTTTTGTCGACACAAGGTGTCCCGATCAATCCTTACGGGGCCCGACTAATTCCCTGCGGCCCGGGCCAGGCACCCCAACCCGACCCTAGCACGTTAAGTGCGCGGAGGAATCCAGCAGAGCGGAGGCTCGAACTCGGGACTTATCGGTCCCTGTGAGAGGTGGCTACTGTTGAACCATTCACGCGGGGGCTTTCTGAGTATACAAATAAAGATAATTTTTAAAGTATAATATTTGTGTGATATTTCAATTCAGTGCTATAATTCAGTTAGTTATTAAACAAAAATAGCTTTATCAATTTCGCAATTTAATATTTTTAACACTTAATTTTCATATTTCAAATTTTAAGATTCTAGACTTTAGTTTTATCAAGCATGGCTTTAGTTGTGTTTAATTTTCAAGCTACCCAATTTTTATGTAAAGATTTTGTAATACTTTGATTTTCAGATTGAACTTTAATTATTGTTTTCTTAATATTTAATGTTACTGTTGAGTATTTGGATTGTTTTCTTCTTGGACATATAAATAACAAAATATGAATAAAAATCAACACCTGTAAAAGAACAGTTGAAAAAACAGTCAAAATTATGACTTGGTAGGTAATTGAGCACGGGGGAGACATTTTTTAAAGAATGGAAATGGACGTGGGATGTAGTCTCTCCTTGGGCTTGGGCTGTAAGTGAGGATTCAAATCTCACCTGCAGTTAAAAAAAATCTAAGAGTTGTGTCAGAATATTCCCTTGATCTAGTTGAGTCTGTATGTCCACTAACCCTCTGCCACAGCCTTCTTAGGCTTTCCCTTCCCCCTAGATTAGGATAGAGTAAATTATACAAATGTATCGTTGCTGATAAAAAAAAAAAAAAGGGACGTGGGATGGGACCCAGCACACTGAATTTTTTGTGTTAATTTTTCTAGAAATCAAAGATTGAATGGAAGTCCACATCTACAAATAATTACTAGAAAATCACGGAGCTTGGCTTTGGAAGATTTGACAAGGAGCAATAATTTCCTTATTATTCTTCCACCAACAAATTCCTCTCTCATAGTATAAAATAAATATAGATGTATCAAAGCTGATGGCTAGAAAACAAGGTCAGGGATGGAAGCAGAAATGCATCAAGATTGGGCCGATGGGAAACCGCCACGTTAAATCTTTTGGCCCCCACCAGATTGACTTTGTAGTCTGACGACTGACTTAGTAAACTAATTAAAGAATTGTCCACAGTCTTCCGTCAAGATGCTGTAAAACGACTTGCTTTCAAATCAAGACCGTGCACGCTAGGATTGAAGGATTTTCCCCTCATAAGTTTTAGCTGAAATTGGTTGAAAATAGAATCGTCATTTTCTATCTCTTTACGCCGCATTCCCACTTGTTTATACTTTACATCCTATCTAAATCCATTTACATCATGCATTCGTTTGTTTACATCATAAGAAAAAATTGATTTGAATTGAAACATGTGAGACCTCTGATCCTAAGAATTGTTCAGTACTTTTTGATGATTTGTAAGATATTATTGTGCAACATCCAAATACCAGTTTCCATGCAATAAATCTGAGTTGTGTTATTGAAAGAGATTAACAATTTCTACCAAGTATAGAGCACGAGTTCTTCAACACGTGACAATAATGTGAGTCCTTGAATAAAAAACCAAATGCTTTCGAGCTTTGGTCAGTTGATGGGTGAAGCTCCTGTGCTCTTGGCTATCTTTGCTCTTATTCTCAACTATTAATGAATCTTTTTACAAGACTTATTGAAACTAGATAATAGATTATACAGAAAGGAGAAAAGAATTAACTAACAACATTTTAACCTTACATATATGAGATCTGCCACACTACTAAAGAGAGAGAACTGGGGGTTCTGGTGGGTAGAAACAGAGGAAAAATATAACAGATATGCCAGAAAATGCACCAAACAAAATAAGTACAGGAGTAGAAGCTCTTTTTTTACAAAAAATTAATAAATCAGAAAGAAAAGCATCTTAATTACCGACCATCAGAGAGAAGATAGTCTGCAACAGAATGTGAAAAACATTTGTCTGTGGAAACGTCAAAACCAACGGTAGAACCCCTCATGGCCAGTGATGATAAATCTGGCAGGGCAACTGATCCGTCCAAGTACAATAGAACTTGCCTCATACTTGGCCTAAGATTTGGTTCTGAATGAGAGCACAACAAGCCTAGTTTCAACACCAATTCTGCTTCCTCTTTCACATACTCAGCACCCAGCTTTTGATCAACTGCTTGGAGAATATCCCCTTCTTTCCAGCACAAAAATACCCAATCAACCAAAATGATACTCTCTTCTGGTACTGCTCGGGGATCTATTGGCCTTCTCCCACATGCAACCTCTAGCAAAAAGGCCCCAAAAGCATATACATCAGTCTTCGTTGTGGCCCTCCCTGTCCTACTATACTCAGGGGCAAGGTACCCAAAAGATCCCGCTACATGGGTGGTTTGAGGCAGAGTTCCATGATCGTATAGCCTTGCCAGGCCGAAATCTCCCAATCTTCCATTCAGGTCACCATCTAACAATACATTACTGGCTTTGACATCTCGGTGGATCACTACTTGCTCCCATTCTTCGTGTAGATGGAGTAATGCTGACGCCACACCTTTGATGACTCGAAATCTTTGGTTCCAGTTGAGAGTACGCTTTGGTTGGTTGAACAGAAATCTGTCTAGACTACCATTGGACATGAATTCATATACCAAAAGTAACTCTCCTTTACGCCGGCAATAACCCAAGAGCGGTACTAAATTTCTATGGTGCAAGCGTCCTATACTGATGATTTCTGCAATAAATCCTCTCATTCCCTGCCTTGCATGATGAGAGACCTTCTTGACAGCAACTTCAACCCTGTTTGTTGGCATGACGCCTTTGTAGACCCTGCCAAATCCGCCTTCTCCCAACAGCTCTTGTTCTCTGAACCCCTTGGTGGCAATGTATAAATCTTTGTACTTGAACCTGTGAGGTCCGTAAGCTAGCTCCCATTCTTCTAGCACTTCTGCAAACTTCCACTTTCTCCTTAGATAATAAGCCACTCCAGATATTAGTATTAATAAAAAAGTAATGCAAATCAGGGGCAATCCCACTGTGAAAAATTTAGACACTTTCTTATGTCCAAACCGAGGAAGCTTGGGGAGCTGGGAGAGATCAATAGCTTGTGCAACACCATTCATCTTGAAGCTCCATCCAAGTATAAAATGAGATGTTCCTATTTCGAGTGGACTAGAGGCTGCAGAAAAGCCAACATACATGGTTTGCTTTAAAATTGGCGAAAGATCATATCTCAAAGACAGAAGAGGAGTATGTGGTTTGGCAGCAGCTATTGGAGCTAATGTAACATCGATTCTCCTATCCATCCCATCGTATTCCACCCAAAGTTGCATCTGTTGACCGCTGATAAGAGTTAAGTTTTCAAATGAATCCTTGTTATTAGCTTTGTAACTCGCTGGCATGGATACCTTGGAGATCACAGAGTTAATATCAATACCGACATGGTTGTCATTGATATCTCCAAAATCTTGGTTTTGGTAAGTGTCAAGCTCCACAGCAAAGACGTGATTTGTTTGATTTCCATTGGTGCTGTTATCGAAGAGGCCGATAAACTGCGAGTCAGGCACTTTTGTGAGGTTTCTTGTTGGTGCAATCACGAAAGCCATTCCGGTACCAGTTAAGCCTGAGAGATCGGGTACTATAGCAAACACAAATTGGGTGGAAAAGGAGAAAGCTGAACTATTAGATGTGCTCTTGAAGTTGATAGGATTAGGATAGAAGGCGTGCCCAGTTTGTGATATGGTGGTGTTGGTTATTCGTAGGAGGCCATTGTTGGTTACCGTGGCTAATCCATCCAGGCTTAGATTTGATTGTTGAAATCCTTGAAAGATGAACCCAGCATCATCAGAAGCTGCTGCACCAGCTGCGATGGGAAGTAGAAAATAGGCTAAGACTGCTGTTCCTAGTTTCAATGTCATGACTAAAGAGTTGGATGCCAATTGCCAAACTCTTCTTAATTTAGTAGCTTATATCATATTGTCTAGCGTTGCAATTTCTCCACGCTCCTTTCTAATTTCTCACACACACTTTGACTGCTTTTTAACTAATGCAAATGACAAGCAGGTAGGTATCGTAGCCACGTTACACCTTCTTTTAAGGGATTTGGGCCACCACGCAAGTGGTCTTTTTAAATTATACGGTGGTTCTATATTCTCCTTTCATCTTATTGAAATTATTGTGCTTTTGATATGTCCAAATTTCTTGTTAGTTGACTTTGTTGGCACGAAAAATTAGGTACACTGAAAAGTAATTTTAATATATAGAAAAATATGTGAAAAAGGAAGGAGAATAAGCATATAATAAATACTCAATAATTTTATTAATTCAAAATTCAATGATAACAATATCAAGTCATAACATTTTCCTTATGACAACTCACAAATATCAACTTAGAAACTTTTCTTATATCTCACAATTCAAGAACTCTTCAAAATTCAAATCAACTTTTCACGTAATAATCTTCTACACTAGCATTATTTATAAATTGTTGAACTTCCTAAACAAACACAATTGTAAATCAAAACTTACATGGAATTGATTTGGAATTTCCTAAACTAATGTGCAAACTAAATAAACGGGACATCGAAACAAGAAATTAAAACAATAAACAAATAGGATGCCTTAGTTTGATTTCATCATTTTCTCTCTTAAATTAAGCTCTTCATTATGATCATTTCCAATTCTATCGCGAACTTGAATCTTCATGAACAACTCTGTCACTGTATAAATGATGTGAAACGCCTACTTATAACTAATCTTTTTGTCATGATCACTTTTGGAAAACTCATACTTTTGGAATAATTTCTTGACATGATCATTTCGTCAAAAACGTCAAATATGATGACCCATTACACTTCAAAATTTAATTCATCTATGTCACCAACAAAATTTTTCAAATTCACAAATCATAGTTGTCACCACTGATATTTTCAGCAAGCCCTAACTTGTCAACACAAACAATCCCGTCACTTTTAGCAATTTACAATTTTAATTTGCCCATCCTACAATTGATATCAATCAATTCAACTGTTTGATATTCTTTTTCAAATAATTCATCAACTCCCATAGAATCAAGAATTTCTACAACGCCATGATCTTTCAGCACATATTTCATTTCATCAATAATGTTGCTTTCTTTCTCAATCACTTCTAAAATTTCCTTTTGAACAAATTCTTAATCTTTATGTACACCCACAACTTCTGCAATTTTTTTTATTTGTCTCATCAAAAAAATTCTGTTTTCTCTTGCTCGTCATAAATGTCTTTTCCACCATGACCACAATAAGAATTTATCAAAAATTTCAAACCTTCTTAGTCGTCTTTGCATGTATAAATTTTTTAGCTAGATACAACTAGAGTTGGGTACTGAGATAGTGGAATGCCTTACAATCTATGTGTCTGTTCCTCTCTAACTTTTTTAATTGCGTCGCTTGATAATTTCATGCCTTCTACAAGTTCTATGAATCCCTTTTGAATAATATCCCAAAGTCCAATAGTTCAAAAAAAGTCTTCATCATCCATTTCCAAACATCAAAATTGCTTTTACCATCAAAGATAGAAATAATATGGATCCATACATTAATTTTATGAACAAGCCCCAAGATCAAAGCCTAGATCGCTTATACCGCTTGTTGGCACAATAAAATCATGCATAGCGAAAGTAATTTTAACATGTATAAAAATGTGTGAGAAAAGGAGGAGAATAAATACACGATAAATAGTCAATAATTTTATTAACTCAAAATTCAATAATAACAATATCAAGTCATAACATTTCATTTACGACAATTTCCAAATATCAATTTAGAGACTTTCTCTTTATCTCACAATTTAACTCAATGAACTCTTCAAGATTCAATTCAGCCTTTTAAGTCATAATCTACCATACTAGTAGTACTTATAGATTTTTAAATTTTCTAAACAACTACAATTGTTAATTGAAACTTACTTCAAATTAAGTTGAAATTTTCTATACTAATATCCAAACTATAAATAAATAGGACCCCAAAACAAGAAATTAAAATAATAAAAAATAAATAAATATGATAGGTTAGTTTAATTCCATCAGACTTAAATGGATGATCTTGTCTACTTTTGAGTTTTGACCTTCACCCTTCGGCAAGTTGAAAAGCTTGAAGTCTTACTTGTGGGACCGGCAGTGTCACGTTTCAAAGAATTTTGAAAAAGGCAGACACAACGGTCGCTAAAGGTTTGCACTATGAGCGTCCGTACACTAGTTGCTGAAGAACAGTTGAGAGATTTACCACAAGACCTGACCCCACATGTGTCCTTTCTTGTTTCCACCAGTGAAGCTATAGGGATAGAAAAGGAAACTAAAGTGGAACAAGCACGAGTATAAATCAGCCTAATCAAATTGAACATCCTGACTTTTTTCTCTCTCTTTAAGAGCACTTTTTTCCAATGTTTTTAAAATCGGACTGGCCAGTGAGCCGGAGAAGGGATCGGTTTGTGGTTTGACCGGTTTAGTCGGTTCGATCGGTTTGATCGTCCGGTTCACTGGTTCACTTTTTTTTTTTTTTTTTTGGCATACAACTTCAGTTAACATCTTTCTTTCCGGAAACCGTTGACAGTCTATGGCTACAAGGTTAAACTTTGAAGGCTGATGTCCAAGAACATGGTACAGGCTATTGTCAGGTCCAACTCGATAATGATGCAATTCAAATTTGAGATGGGTCTAAATGAGACATCAGAGGAATGTGGAACCTTCTTGAAGTAGTACTAAAAAATATCCAGCTCGATATCCTCTATCAGAAGAATCTGGAATTTGTATTTTCAAATTTGATATCTAGCCAGATACCAAATTTGTGTTTTCATTTCGGCCATTTGACTTTCTCACTCTGTCCATATTCATTGAAAAGAAAAAAAATTCTCCATATTCACATTTTTTGTCCACTAGAAAATTGTTATTAGCGCCCAATTATTTATCAATATTCCCTTTTTTTATACTTATCTACTAGTTAGTTAGGTAATAATATCCTTATTCAATCTTACTACCTACGATATTGTTTTGAGATTGTAATTGAAATTAAAATTTTTAGTATTTTGTTTATTCACACAAATAAAAAAAAATCAAGGAGTTATGATGTATAATACGAATGTGTACAATGTAATTATAAATATTTTTTAAAATAATAATTATTTATCAAAATTTTCCCTAAATACTTGTCTACAATGTCAATTGAGCAAGAATATCCCTACTCAATCTTTCTATCTGTTATTGCATTTCAACCACTATTTTATTGTGAGATTGTAACTAAAATTAAAAGTCTAAGTATTTTTATTTATTTTCACAAATTAAAAGATCAAGGGGATTACATTAATAATCAAGGGGAGTACATTAACAAACATTGATATACCAACAATGTATTTATGATGTAAAGCACAAGTTTTTCTAATGTAATTAAAAAATTTTAAAATAATAACTTATCTAAACAATTCAATTTAGTTACCAAATTAGACCTTGTTTGGATTGTCATTATTTTAATTTTTTTAGCTTTTCACAAATCTATTTCTTGATTATTTTTATTCTACACACATTAAATCGTGGTCGTACATTTTTCTACAAAAATTTAAAAAATAATTTGAAAAAGTTGTTTTATTAAAGGATTTTTCTAATGGTTGTCCTAACACATTTAATATTCATCTAATTTATTATATATATATATATACACACATATACTAACAATTATTACTATCTTTGCATTTATATATTTTTTATATTTAATCTTACCTACGTTTCTTTACATTTATTCACTGAGGAGAAGCCGCTGAACTAAAGCAAACAAAGAAATAAGTTTGATGTGTTTTGGGGTATTTTTGGTTTTTTACTTAATAAGTTAAGTAAATATCTACACAAAACAGTCTTGTCCGCTGGCTATGGTTTAATGGTAAGGGCTCCTTGTAACAAACGCAAGGTCTGGTGTTTGATTCTTGGTGGCTGCAATTTGGAAATTAATTTTGAAAAGTTTCAAAAACCGCCGGTTCACGGTCTAAGCGATTTTTCACGGTTCATCCGAGTCATCTGGGTTTTAGCGGTTTTTCATTACTCTCCGGCTTTAGCACTAGACCAGACCGGTGACATGTCCGGTTCGCGGTCCAACCGGTCGAACCGGACGGTCCAGTCCAGTTTTGAAAACATTGCTTGTCCCTCCAATGGTGGAAGTTCAAAACTTTTCAAATCCCAAAAGTTCAAATCCTGGCAAAAAGCACAAAGAACCAATTCCATCCACAAATCCATACATGATCCCCACAGCTTTTTAGATCGGACAAAATAAATGTATGTTAGTTGCTGAAGGAGCTACCACGGTGTCGTCTGCATTAACTCCAAAAGGATCGGCAGCTGAAGAGGCGTTACAAGTACGTAATGGAAGGGAGTAGCACTTGAGATAGTGGGTCAGCACTTCACAAGCATAAAACCATCCATCTCAAGGCTTGATTCTCTTTTTTACTTTTCCAGCTTTCTTAAAATACCTGCTTTTCTGTTTGTTAGTTCTACTATTTGTCCTCTGTTTTCGTTGTCACCTAGGTAAGCATTACCTAGCTGAAATAAGCAGTTTTACTTTTGATATGCAGTAGCTTGGCTAGTTCCCCTTCATTGTCAGGGTAGAATTGGGATCCCCTCTATATCTCAGTCCATTACTATGGCGGAAGAACTGTCTGAGATAATGCAGAAATTTGTCTTAAATACCCAAAAGTGCACCATAACTGACCTGGACTTTGTTCACTCTAGTATCAGTAGGCAGGAATGTCAACTAAGCTTGTTGGGCAAAATCCGGGGAGAGAAACTAGTTAACTTCACCGGACAAAAAAACTTTGTCAGTATTGCTTGGGGTTACCCAAAAGACCTGAAAGTCACAGAGTTAGGACCAAACCTGTATCAATTCTTGATTCCTGAAGAGGAAACTCAAGAGAGAATTATGAACGGAGGCCTATGGATCTTGGACAACCAACTGATAGTTTTGAGCAAATGGTATGAAG